GGCGGGGCCGCCCTCCTCGTGCGGCCAAGCCCCGCCCCTCCGGGGAGGGGCGCGGCGCCTTAAAGGGCCAGTAACGAGGGCAGAGGAGAGGGCGACCGCGACACGCCGGGCTGGGAAGGGGAGCTGCTCCGTAACATAAACCTAAGTGGCAGCTGTGCTCCCTGGGGCTCGGACCAGGGCGCTGCCTCAAGGATGAATTAAGAACTAAAACAAAAGCCCACCCCCCATCCAGGACCGAGCCCAGCGCAGGGCGCTCCCCCGCCCTCTGAAGTAACAACCCCCGGGGGAAGCTTCCTCACGGCCTCCCACGCAATGGAAACCCCTCCCAGATGCAGCTCAGCAGCCCCGGCGCCTCCTCCCGCACACCCCAAAATAGGCAGCGGGAGGGGGGGGCACTGCTCGGTCCTGGGCGGGTCTCAGAGGTGAAGCCACTTGGCTCGAGGTGTCACTGCCACTTGTCCCCGCCTCCTCACCTCCCGACCCTCCAGGTCACGGGGACAATGCTGTCCCCCAGCCTGGCGGGTTCTGAGGCATCGAACAGAGATGATTTGCCTTTCTTCAACTCCTTGTTTAAGACTTCACAGGAGAGGGGGGTGAAAAAGGCAAGTCCCCGTTTGATCTTCAGCTGCTGCCACCATAACACTCCTCAACTTTGAAGTGCTTCTCCGCTGCAAACACAACTCTTGTAACCCGGCTGTCTCTGTCTTTGATAATGCCACACAGCCAAGAATTTTGTTCTATAACACCCTTCGGGCCATTAACACGCCAGGAAAATGCTTGAAGCGACATATCTGCTTGAATCACCAAAGTTTTTAGGGGGCTTGCGGTGCTTTTTAGACTTGAAGGATCTGTCATGCTCTTATTTATAAAGCAGCCTGATACACAAAGCTTTGTCAATGTTATTTCCCTCATCGTTCTGTGGAGGCTGTTTTGTTTTAAACCTCCGCAGAGTTTGCTGTTTTCAATAATATTCAAATACCCACATGAAACAAGTGCCTGCCCCGCCTGCCCTCCCCTGGGCTTTTGTACCATGATGGCAAAGGGAAAAGCTGCTTTCTCATACCCTCTCAAGTGCCATTATTCAGCAAATGGAAAATAATCAACAAATACTCTCCTCCTCCCAACAATCACTTGCCCTTGTGCAAACAGATTACAAACACCACGTTACCCAACGGGAGAGACGCGGGTAAGGAGCAATTTCCTTATTCTGTTCCCAGGGCTGTGGGTAGGAGGGACACTTTCCCTTCTTTCCTGGGTGGCAGAGGTCAGGTCTGTGTTTTCCCAAACCTTGCGATTCAAGGAGAGGGTCTTCCTTACTCTCCTTATGTCTTTTTTTAGACACAAACTATTGTCCAAGTCCGCGATTAAGATTGGACCCGGCTGCACCTAAGCTCCCCCAGGAGTTCAGAAAGCCAGAGGGTCTGCTCTGAACCTTGGGACTCAACAGGAGAGTCTTCCTTACCCTTTGTATCCCTGGTCTCTTTGTGAATCACTAACTCTATTCGAACCCAATTTTCCTTTGTAGGTTTCTGCCATGCAGTAATTAATAAGGTGAACCTTGCCATCAAACTTACTGAACCTTGGTAAACCACTGTCAAACTCTGTTAAATTCCATTGAATCTACCAAACTCCGTCAAATTATTTTATCTCAACAAAACATATTGCTGCTTCTCTCTTTTGTGCATTCCACCCCTGCGTGACAGTTTCCCTTTAAAGCAAAGGATCAAATAAATAAAATAAAAGTTTATTTCTGTGAGATCTACTCTACAAACTCTACAACCACACAATCATTTGTGCTCTAGCCTGCAGAAAATTCAGAGGATCTCCATCTTCCAGTAAAAAAAAAAAAAAAAACAAACACGAAAACCACAAATTGCATAGATTGAAAAATTCAAGTTCTTCCGCTTTTCACCTTCAAACCCATAAGGCAACGGCACCAAGCCAAAGACTTCAGTGCAAGGGAGCTGGTACATGCTTCCCTCCCCCACCACCGCCTTCCATCTCTCGGCTGGAAAACTTACCCTTACGCCAGCGGCTGATCTCATGGCGTGTCCTGCCTGCCTCACAAAAACACCATTGCTTTCTGTCTTCAGAGAGACTAAAGCCAGACACGGTTAAATACGGGAAGTTCTCATTTAACAGCCTTTGCTGTAAGGCACAGTCCAGAAGAACCTCCAACGAGGCCTTTATTTCACGCCGTATAAAGTTCTGCATTTTCAATGACAGTTATTAAAACTAAAGAAGGAAATTCTCACTTGGCAAAATGACCATCAAAAAGGAGTATGTCAGAGACCAAGTCTTCTTGCATTACTTTCTAATACAGCATATAAGAAATATCAACAAGCCATAAAAATACTTTACATGCACAGTAAGATTATTATTTTTTTTACATTCACTCGGTCAATTTACAAATAATTGCTCTAGGCAGATAGTTAAAAATATCATACAAAGACCTAAGTACAACCTCCATCTTATCCCTCAATTTTCTTATTAAAACATAGAAATTCTCCTTGGCACAATAAAAATATATATATGTATGTATATATACATATATATACACACACACTGTATTGTCTCTGAATTGCAAATATTAACATTTTAAACGCACTGTTCCAGTTAGCATAAAGTGACATTACAATTCATGAACAGTAATGGACAACACCCCGTTTTCTCTAGAAGGGCTGATAAAAGTGTAAGTCTACATCAAAAATAAAAATCAGTTGCTTTTAAGAACAAAGCTACTCAAAGTTGTGCTGCTTCCATCAATGCAGATGTCTTCAGATTTATTACAGAGATTTAAAAGCAAATTGAAAGCCTTTTCCCAATTCCCTGACTTTTGTTTTTCAATTTTTTTTAAAGTCATTACAGTTCTGAAAACCAAGTTCACGCACAAAGGGTAAACAGCAGTTTTCAACTCAACAGAAAGCAAAGCAGTGGAAAAAATACTATTTTTGAGACATTCAGAAAGCATGGATGCTTAAGTGAAGACTTCTAAAACCAGAGCTAAATTAAGGTAATAGAAGGTGGCACAAAAGCTGTATTTACTTCAGTCTTCAATATGAAACAAGAAAACCAGACATGCATATCTTTACTTTTTCCACTATTAGATAGCCTGTGTACCTGCAGTTGCCGATCTGCACCCACTTTCAGACAAACCCGTTTTGCAGTTAAATGTGCAGACTAGGAATTGCTTTTAGGGCAGGCAATCAATCACTCTCTTCACTGGAGTCAAAGATGTCACTAAGTCTGAAAGCCTTCTTCTGTTCCACAGCTGTTGAATTGTCAGAACTCAGCTGTTTCCCCTTGCTTTTTTCTAACTTTTCTTCAAGTTCTGGAAGTTTCTTTTCAAAAAGATAATCGATAATTTCTTTGGGGAAAAAAAAAAAAAAAAAAAAGAGGAAAAAAGTCTTAATTGGATCTGTAGAGAAACTGGATGCCATGGGGAAACAGGATCTCATACGTAGAAATTATTTCATCAGTGTTAAATGCAAAAAAATCTCACTATTCTGTAGTAATTGCAGTGGCTGCAGGGTAGGTCAGACAGATACACGCACAGCTAAGCTACAAAAGCAGAGTCACAAATACTTTTAAAGACAAGGTATTAAAAAGGAGAGGTTCATAAGCACCGCATGAAGATGACATTGAAAGTAAATGGTTCTTTTAAAGAAAAAGCATTTAGTAACGTAAGTATAAGAAAGGATTGAACTAGAATATGTATCCTCTTTGATTCAAGCAAAAACCTTAAGGAGTATACAGAAACAGCTGGGATACTGACCAGAGAAAGTCTTTTTTTGCCAAAAAGGAACACAGGAGACTTTTAGCTTATAAAATTTTGCTTGAACATAGGCTTTAGGGACATCTCTGAAAAGAGAAGAGTTCAAAGAATTAGTGGTGCAAGGAACTACTACAAAGTTTAGATGTTACTGAGTTACTCATTCATGAGTGATGCCAGTCAAACAATATCTCAGCTTTAGGTAGAAAGGATGGATTTCAAATCCTAATTAAAACAGTTTTTCAAGACAGCAAATCCCCTTGAAGGTAAGAACATAAACCATGCCGTCATATGTATGTATTACATGTTTAGTGAAAAGAAACAGTAAATGAAACTGAAAGTATGTGGAAGAAGAAAAAAAAAAGCACTGTAGAGAAAGTCTAGCATTCACCATGTTGGTAATTCCATATTCAACACTTCCTCTGTTTGGAAGAAGACTACTATATTGCATTACACATTCCTATAATTATCCCTTTTTCCTATGTGTTGATTAACACTGGGAAAAGTCTTTGATAAAAGACTTTAGTGCAGACTACGTAACACAGCTCTAGTACACAGAACGTACTGGGAATACACTAAGGGTTGGCTGAAGTGGTTAAAAGTTAAATTTCAGAGCTTACAGGCACGGTTTATTGCTCAAGACTATGCAAGGATATACAACTGTATGTTACCAAACTAAATGACACTTTCTGCAGTTGCAGAGGTCTAAGAACTTTGATTCCTTTGCGGAATTTTTAAGAATGTCTCTTCAACTATCCTTCGTAACCATAAAAAGAGGGAAAAAAAGGTTTACCCAATAGTATTACTGAGCTCTTCCCAGTTTACTTCATTAGCATCCTCCACTTTCATTTCATACAGCCTGTGAATACAATACAGAAGCAGAATTTGTAGGCAGAATTCAAGAAATAGTTCCGTAATGCTCACAGCTTCCCCAGTCAGAAGTCACAGGACATCCTGCAAGCTTTCATAAAACACAACTCCGAACAGTAAGAGATACAAAAACATCCCAGTACCTCTGAACCATACCTTTTAATAAGATTGATCTTAGCCTGTAATCCTTTGGTCCCCCTATATAACTGCTGCCCTTTGGTCATCTTGTTTGTTAGAATTGTAGTCCTTTGAAAACACACAAAAAAAGGTTTCTTTCATTTCAAGAAATTCCAAGGATCAAAAGGAAGTGTCTTCAAGACGCTACTGCTGCCACAGAGAAGCAGAAATCAAACTTCACTATCACAGCAAGAAGAAAACTTACCACAGCTAGCAAAGAGTTAGTTATTTGTCTCAGACATTTGCAAGGCACTTCTGTAGGCTACAACTTATCTATTATCCATCTTATCAAACAATCATCATGGTACAAACAACTCTGAAGAAGAGTTAAACACTCCCCAGAATACATTTTTACCATCTCTATTTAGTATAAAACCTTACCATTTCTGTTTACACTGTCTCCAATATCGAGTTCCCACTTTAGCTTCAATCTCAGTCCATGGTAACTTCTGGTACAGTTTCTCTCGGTCGATCAAGAGATCTCTGTTTGACTTTTCTGATGATGAAAGAGAATTTGCATCTTCCGCTTCCGCTCTTTTCCTAATCACCTCTTCCATAGCATGCATTAACTTCTGGGTCTCTTCCTTTGACCAAGGACCATAATTAATAGCTAAAATTGAAAAAATAAGGTTAAGGCATAATTTACCATCAATTATTTGGGGAAAAAAGGCAGAAGAGCAAATGCTTCACTTGGCATTATTCTTATTTACAGGACCAGCTTCTTAACACACTTCCTAAAAACTCTTCTGCATATCAGATTTGAGAGAGGAGTTCAGCCTAACCACTAAAGAATAGCACTGATCCCTAGTTTCTATCTTTTAAAACCCCGTTGCCAAATTCCTCCCACCCTCCCCCTGAAAGCATCTATTTAGATGTCAGTTCCACTTAACAGAGAGCTGCATTTGCTCCACTTTTTTCCCTTTTCTATCAGAGACTGTTCTTACCCCTTCCCTATGAAAATGCAATCAGTGGTCTGGGAAAAAGAACTCCCACCACAAATTAATTAAAATAAACAATCCACTCTTAAGTATTTTTTTCCTAAAGTTTAGGGCACATACAGTTAAAATAATTTCTCAAATTGCAATATGCAGAATGAATAGTTTTTCCTAAAATTACATACCTGACTTGATTTCAGAGTATTTCATAGCAACTGAGAGGTTAGAACGGGACATCATCTCAGAAATCTTCTTCCAATCATTGCCATGCATAGCATGGTACTTCTTTAATTTTTCTTTTTCTTCCTTAGTATACCTAGTTGAGGAAATGGGAACAGCTTCAGCTGTATATTCAAACCATTCCAATACCTTAAACGAGCTGTGATCTTTACAGATGTTTCAGTGTCACTCATCACTACCATCTCACTTTAGAACAGAGGAATTGATAAGAACTAGTCAGAAAAATGATTTGTCATTTAAGTCACAGTAACTGGCACAAATGGGAGAGACGATCTTCATTTATATCCATTTTTAATGTAAAGAGTATCAGAGACTGATACTTAGCAACCAGAAACTCAAATGACTCGCTTACCTCCCTTTATAATTATTTGGGTCAAACATCTTCCTTGCTCGGTAATATATCAGCCTCCAGGGTCGCGGTATGCCCTCAGCTAGAAGGTAAATGATTTATTTTTAAGAAACATTTCTCACACTGGCAAGGCCACTTTAAAAAACAAAAAAACCCACAAAACCAAACCCCAGCATTTTCAGGACCGTGCTGTGAACAACAGACTCTCTCCATTCAAGAGAATGTGCTCTACAACACTTCAGCAACTGCACAGGAAATAGTCTGAACAGAATCTCCAGAGGATTTTCAAAGATGGAATTGTTATGACTGTGGGAAGATTGTGAATGCTGGCAAATAATTGTGTACCTGCCCGCACAGCCCTGGGGGAGTATCGAAAACTGAAATTTTGACCTCTCAAGCACAAACCTGCTACTCACTAGCTACAAATGGCACAGACTGGCTGTACACTCGATCCAGATGTAATTAAAATTTAACTGACATACTGAATGGTTCCACTAATACAGACACGAAACAGCCACCAGCCAGGAGGCTGATGAGCTAATGTGTTTCTGCAAACGGCCATTTCAACCGGGAAAAGCAGGGACTGCGGGCATCCAGCAAAACCAAAGTGAAGATCTTGGCTGAAGGGAAGATCCTTGAAGAGGGGGAAGATCCACAGAGACCAATACCTGGGAACACATGACAATGGTTATGTGCTGGTCAGCAGTGCTGGTCAGCAAGGCCCAGGAGAGGCGACTGGAAGCCCCTGACGTAACACTGACCTGCCTTCCCGCCCAATCTCCCGGCTTGGAAGGAGTCAACGTCAGGCAAATGTGTCAACGCAGGGGGAAAGATTGGGCGTGTGAAATAATCAAGGAGGAACAACTCTGTAGCCTCATTGATCCTTAAATAAATGCCAGTATCCAAATCCATTACAGGTTGTCGTTTACTGTCTTGCCTACGCTAAGAATACAGAACAAACATAGAATGGAAAGACGGAGACAAAGTGCAGAGGAGACCCAGAGACGTTTCAAAATGAGCACGTTTGCCACATGAAGTGTGAATGTTTTCTAGCCAAGAAAAGCCCAACAAACGAATAAAGAAGAGAAGAGATGCTCCTCCTGCAAAGAGAATCTTAGCCATAAGAATTTTATTTTCCTCAAGTCTTGGAAAACTAACTACTTTTGGCTAACAACCTAATGTCTTTCAGTTTCTGCCATCACTCAATCCTAAACCTGTCACCTATTTATGTTCTCTAAGAACAGCTGACAATTTCAGACAGGACTTAATCACACCTCCCATTAATAAGTCACTATGCTTAATTATAGCCTAGCAAATAACGCACCTTAAGCCACACAGCCCAAATGCAAGTTTGAAAGTCTGTCAGTGCTGCTGATCATCATGACATTTTAAACTCTTCACACCCAAGAAAAGAGAATAAGAACAGTATACTGTACAGATTATCAGCTACATAATCTCATCAGCGTGCTGCTTTTTTTGCCAAATTTAGCAACATTAGTGCTTTTCAGTAAAAAATTATTTTAGAAAATGCATCGTGATATCACCAGGTCATGGAACGTAACATTCAGCTATCTGAGAAGAACTTAAATACTTACAAAGTTTTTCACAAAAAAGATGTTCTGCTTTTAGGCGACTGATACTTTCTTTATCTTCCGGATACCTCGAGGTAAACAGGAGTTTTTCAGGACTGTCTATTCCAGTTATAGATAAGAACTCTTCAATATTTTTCCGGATCTGATCATTTTCCTTCTGGGAAAATCTGCCAAACTTGACAGCAATACCTAAAATTACAGAAAGCTTTACTTAAAAAAAATAATTGCAAATCTCAAGTACCATCTCTTGTACATTACATTTCAGATTTTCACAAAGATCCACAAACTCAAAAGATGAAAAAAGAAAACTGAAAGAGACAAAGCAAGAGCTGGGAGCAGGTAATTCACACGTACGCTTTGGACTGCAATTTGACAATGAGGACGTAAATGCTACAAAGCAAAGAAACAGAAAATATGTCCATTCGAATGAAGTCAGCCAGGCTCCATGGATGTGACAGACACGACACAACAACTATTTTCCCCTCTGTCTAAACATTAGCACAGCCTCACTGTCCTTTCCCACTGCAACAATATTTTGGAGAACTCACCCTTTTTTTTAAACTGTTTAAACCTCGTTAGGTCTCTTCCAGCCATTTTCCTGATTGAACTGTCCGATATACTCCTCACATGAGGAATAAACTCTTCCAATTCTTGTCTTGCAGTATCCAAATCCACAACTGGACACACGGTATAGTCCAGGTACTCTTCATCATCCAGACTAAGCTCATCAGAGGCTGCAGTTTCAGCAACAGAACTATCCTGGTCCTTATTTCTATTTGATGCAGAAGGTTCTGGTGTCCTGACATTGAAAAAAAGATTGAGCTCCAAAACAGAGATTCTGTTAGTATCTCTACTATCAAAAGAATGAATATGTTCATTAATTAAAGAACAAGGAATACTTCACACATCCACCCCCTTGTATTTCCAGCCTTTTAACACAGACACAATTTATTACCAGATTTCTATACTTATTCAAAGAGCTTGCTGAATCCACACAAATCCAGCCATGCAAATCCACACCTTTCCCACAAAACTCCAACACACAGACATACAGAAGAAATAGTGTCTTGCTATCACTGGCAACACAGAACTTTTCTACCTATCTCTCACCAGTGCTCTTACTGTGGGTTATAGACATTGTAAAAGCACCAAGAGCTACTTGTGCTTTTTGTTTGCACAGAACATTAAATTCTTCAGTTGACCTTACTAGTTGCTTGGTAAAAATGCGTATGTTCACTAAAAATACCAAATTTAAGAAAGTAAAACCCTTTCTCCCCCTCACTTTTTTTTTTTTTTAACTAAATATGAATTACCTGCATATAAATTATTTCTATACCTACAGTTTTTAAACAGGAGAAAATATATGCTACGTTGAAGGCAATGGTAGTGTATTCTTACAGATTCTCAGTTTATCTTTGCAAGATAACTAAGCTTTTAAAGTAGGTCTCCGACATCTCAACATACACTAAAGTTGTTCTTAAAAATATATACAAAACAGACTGAAGAAAAATCTGGGACCCAAATAACGTGATAGAAACATATTTGAGGGGTGGGGGGAAGAAAAAAAAGAAAAAACCAAACCCACACACAAACCTAAACTTACATTACATCAGATTCTGAAGAGCTTTCTTCCGTGACAAAAGCCTTGCTTTTTTTCGCCTTTCTAGCACGCACCGGCGTTTTTTGAGGCAATCGATCAGCTGCTTTAGTTGGCTTAGAAAAATTAGCAGGTACATCCGTAGAATCTTCACTCGTGGCAGGAGCAGGAACACCCTCACCATCTTCAAGCCATTGCTGGGGTGTTGCTGCACCACCCTCTTCTGTTGGTAATGACAAGACTGTGTCTTCCCCTGGCTGGTTTCTCTCTGGAGACGACACTAGTGACTGGTCAACAGTGACATCGATGTCTTCCTGCATACCCTGGGTACTGCTGCCTCTTTTCTTTTTCTTCTTCTTTTTCTTCTTGCCACCCTCGTCTGTCGGTAATGGCAAGACTGCGTCTTCCCCCGGCCTGTCTCGCTCTGGAGATGACAACAGTGACTGGTCAACAGTGACATCGATGTCTTCCTGCTCCCCCTGGGTACTGCTGCCTCTTTTCTTTTTCTTCTTCTTTTTCTTCTTGCCACCCTCTTCTGTTGGTAGTGGCAAGACTGTGTCCTCTCCTGGCCTCTCTCGCTCTGGAGATGACAACAGTGACTGGTCAACAGTTACATCTGTGTCTCCCTGCACACCCTGGGTACTGCTGCTTCTTTTCTTCTTCTTCTTCTTTGATCTTTTATTGTCGTTTGTATCGTGCGTTTCTGAGGTAGGCAGCTCAGGTACCTCATCCTCTTCAGGCAATTTTTCTTTTCTTTTCTTCTTAACAGATTGTTTTAAAGAAACGTAATCAGCATCAATCTCCTGACAATTATCGGTGCTATGCAGACTTACTGCGACATCATTTTGCTCATCTGTACTATCATTATATTTCCGCTTTTTTTTTTTCTTTTTCTTTTTCTTTTCGGAAGCATCCACTCCAGTTTCAGTACTAGTTTCAAGTTCCAGTCCTACGCAAGAATTATCTAACAAAGACTCTTGCTTCTCCCTCTTGTTTTTTGTTTTTTTCTTCTTTTTACAGCCTTCACCACTCTGTACTACTCGATCCTCAAACAGCAGTGGAGAAGCACGGTCAAGCTCTACATTTTGTATACTTTCATCATTTTCATGTTTCTCACTGTATTCTTTGTGCTTTCTTTTTTTCTTCTTCTTCTTGAGAAAATCCTGAACTTCAAAATCATCTGCACTTGTTTTTTCTGACTTCTTGAAAATCACTTGCACTTGCTTTTCTCTGACTTCTGTCATATTTTTTCTTATCTTAAATAAAAGACATGAATTTTACTCAAATGCTATAATTTACGTACCATTACACAGAAGAAAAAAAACCCACCCCAACATTAAAATTCTATGGAACTACTCAATATTTTCTTAGAAACACACAACAAAGATACTTACTTTTCAATGCAGCTAATTTTGCAAATTGACTACGAAAAAGCAATGCCTTCTTCATTAAACAGATGCGCATCACAGCTGTATTCAGCCTTTAAATTGCCTTCCTATAACAACAAAGATACACTTTAATAACTATCAGCTTTGACTTTAAATAACTAAGCAACAACAGACTGCTGTATTCAACTCAGCACTGAAACAGCAACAAGCTAAAAGTAATAAACGTTAAACCAACCAGCACTAAAACCAAATTCTCTAATTAGAAGCTTCTGAGTGGCTTTGCCCATGTTCAAACAGGCCCCAGCCTGGCCAAGACCTGCCAGCTCCAGCGGACCCTGCAACCAGAACAAATCCAGTCCTGAAAACCACAGTTACACAGAGCAGGCAGCAAGCATTTTTTTAAGCACATTTTCTACAGCCAGCACACGAAAAAACACTCACAAAGCAACACCCCGTCATCTCTGGAAAAGAAGACCTTGAATTTCACATCTCCAACAGAGTTTCCAGCGCTGACCGGTACCAGACTTTA